AACTAGTAATACAACAGAGATGAATCTCAGGAACATTAAACTGAGTGAAAGAATCCTCACACAAGAATACCTCCTATATGATTCCACCTACATGAAGTTCTTGAACAGGCAAAATTATTTTATGGTTAAAAAAAAATCAGGTCAGGGGCACCTGGGTGACTCAGTCGTTGAGCATCTATGCCTTCAGCTCAGGTCATGATCCCAGGGTCCTAGGATTGAGCCCCACATCGGGCTCCCAGCTCCACAGGAAGCCTGCTTCTCCCTCACCCACTCCCCCTGCTTGTGTTCCCTCTCTCGCTGTGTCTCTCTCTGTCAAATAAATAAATAAAATCTTTAAAAAAAAATCATGTTAATTCTCAGGGTGGGGGCAGAGCTGACTGAGAAGGAACAAGAAGGAACTTTGTGGGCTAATGGTAATGTTCTAAATCCTGCTAGGAAGTTGGGTTACATTCATGAATATATTTGAAAAATCCATTAAATACTACACTTTGGCGCTCCTGGCTGGCTCAGGTGGTAGAGCGCGTGACTCTTGATCTTGGGGTTGTGGATTGAAGATCCATGATGGGTGTAGAGATTACTTAAAAATAAAATCTTTTTAAAAAGAATACACTTAAACGATTTGTGCATTTCACTAAATGAAAATTTCACCTCAAATATTCCATTAGCTATTAAACCCTACAAGATACCCTACTGTCTTTCAAGGTAGGGCTTTATTATTATTATTTTTTAAGATTTTATTTATTCATTTGACAGAGAGAGACACAGTGAGAGAGGGAACACAGGCAGGGGGAGTGGGAGAGGGAGAAGCAGGCTTCCCGCCGAGCAGGGAGCCTGATGTGGGGCTCGATCCCAGGACCCTGGGATCATGACCTGAGCCGAAGGCAGATGCCCAACGACTGAGTCACCCAGGTGCCCCAAGGTAGGGCTTTAGAAACAAGGCAGGATGGGAGCTGGACCACTTCCTCTCCTCACAGTCTCTACGCACTCCCCCCAAGGCATTCCCTAAATCACAGGATAAGTCAAAACAAAATTTCAGATAGGGGCGCCTGGGTGGCTCAGTTGGTTAAGCGACTGCCTTCGGCTCAGGTCATGATCCTGGAGTCCCAGGATCGAGTCCCACATCAGGCTCCCTGCTCGGCAGGGAGTCTGCTTCTCCCTCTGACCCTCCCCCCTCTCATGCTCTCTCTCTCTCATTCTCTCTCTCAAATAAATAAATAAAATCTTTAAAAAAAAATTTCAGATATTCATCCAACTCCTGCACCATCAGGCACCTGGTACCCTTGAGCGTTCCTCCTCTCTCAAACCAGATCCCACAATAGATTCTGAAATCAGTCATTTACGCCTAGCATAAATTAGTGACTGGCCTCTACTCTTCTGGGGCCCTTTCAATTTTGCCTCGATAAGTTTCTGTGCTCAGAGATATTTCAGTGAGCAGGAAGGAGGGACACGTAGAGGTGGGAAGATCCTTCTATCACCTCCCCTTCACGAGCCTAACCTGCCTGATCTTCAGTACCCCCCAAAACACACACCAGGGAACTCTCACCCCCCAAAATCACAGGCAGAACCTGCAGTGCCCACACATGTCACAGTGGGATGGAGAAGCCTCTGCGTGAACCAGACAGCTTCTAGAACATAGCCTCCCACTCAGCTATCCCCCAGTGAACTGAATATGGAGGACACTGGCTAACTCTATTATATAATATTCTCCTTGAATACAAGCAGCTCTGAGTGAAATACGCATTAAAACACAGACATACCTAGAACAGTACCTGACACATGAATGAATTAATGAGGCAAATATTTAAAAAGAGCCACAGGAATTTTTATTCAATGATAACAGATGGAGGGCCATGCTAGGGGTGAAAGAGCAGGGACACCTTGGCTATAAATTTCAGGAGAAAGGAGCAAACTGTTTGGCCAAGTGGCCTTCCCTCCCTAACCCCAGGGAAGCCATCATTAACCTTTCACCTCCCCAGGAGGTGTGGTCCCAGAGTAACAACCGATTCAACCAAACAAATACAGGTGTCCCCCACCCCTAACCACCTGCAGTGGCTCAGCTTGCTGAGCAGATATTTCCCTCCGGCTTCCAGAGTCACCCCTTTCATTTGTTAATGTCACTTGCTTATTAAAAACAAAAAAAGACATGAGTACTGGAGCACAAAAGAAGACTTAGTCATCATGCTAAAAGATCCTATGTCCTTCTTTTTAGGGAAATGCTCTCAGCCTGGGAACTATTTTTCTCACCAGAGGGAAGTTGAGGTGGAGATTAAAGAGGGAAAGAAAAGGCACAAAACGTGGAGAAAAATTCCTGCAGGCCTTAAATTCAGGTGTGCACTGGAAACTCAGGTCACTCTTACCTGCTCAGCCTCCTCATATCTTATGAGGCCCCAGGAGTTCCAGGTCCAGAAGCCCAGGAGAAGAACCCATGGGAGCACCATGGGTTTATAATGCTGGTGGCCACCCCCACTTCCCACCGTGCATTTTGTCTGAGCTGGCCAGCAGCATTCCCTATGTCCAAACGCTTTTATATGGGAGTAAATGAGCCTTAAAAAAAAAATATATATATATATACAGCAAAGGGACTAAATTGATCTGACCAAATTGATCCTTTGTGTCTTTTGCTTTTTGCATTTTGTGCATTTGCTCTTTGCCACAAAGTAACAGTACCTACAAGAGTGCACTGTTGCTCTTCCCTTGCCTTTCTGGAAGCCCATTTTAGCTTCTGAAAGTCAAAGCTGCCAGATTCAAGAAAGCAAGTGAACTGAAACTTCCAATCTCTTTAGGGAAGGCAGCTCCCCCTGCCTTTACCACATTCTGGGACTCTGAGATGGCCCTAGCCCAGGAGCTGCCTTGATGCCTCTTCTCCTTTGATCTGACTTAAGGACCCCAGGTTAGACTAGTAATTATCAATTCTACTCGAAATAAACTCCCTGGGGCGCCTGGGTAGCTCAGTTAAGTGGCTGCCTCCGGCTCAGGTCATGATCTCAGGGTCCTGGGATCGAGCCCCGCGTCGGGCTCCCTGCTCCGCGGGAAGCCTGCTTCTCCCTCTCCCACTCTCCCTGCTTGTGTTCTCTCTCTCTCACTGTGTCTCTCTCTGTCAAATAAATAAATAAAATCTTAAAAAAAAAAAAAAAGAAAGAACTCCCTGTCCATATGCATCCATTGACCTGCATCAAATAAGATCTTTCTCCATTTTGCTCTTCAAAGTGTCCTATTAGGTGGTTTTGTACAAATTCCAGAAACATCCAAATTCTTATCAGGACTCTGTTAAAAACTTCAAAATCATTCCTTCTAAGAGACCCGGGTCAGGGGTGATGACCTAGCATAAAGACCACTGTTATTACGGCACACTCCATAGAATACAGTGCCCATGGCATCCAGAGTTGTGCAGTGAGGCTGAGTTACCTAGTGGGTGGAGGACTGGAGCACCTGGTGACGTGTTTTCTTTGTCCCCCGCACTGTTCAGAGGGCAGCAAACAGGGCCAACCCAGGAACCACCATTCACCACTGCTAGCTGGGACCCAGGTGGTGGCACCGTGACTGCCTCTGGCTTAGTACAAGTCTCTCTGTCACCCTCAGGTCCAGACCCCCAACTCCATCTTCCCTCTCTGCAATACTCTATGCTCACCCTTTGAAAGGGGGTGGGGGAACCAGAGAATGCAACCACTAATTCAAACCAGAAAAACAGAGGACACAGAACTGAAAAGAGTTTTTCATCCAGCCTGTCTGAAAGACCCCCTTCCCTGTGAGAATTCTGGCTTGGCTCCTTGGCTCTCTGCGTTCAGATCAGAAACCTATTTCTTCAGTAACTCCTGCAAGTAAAAGGAGATGAAATGTATGTATGTGGCTTTGCCAATGAGCTCTCCTTTTGCTTTTAACATTAGAAAAAGTGGAGCAGGGGTACCAGACAGGACGGGAATGCATGGAGATGAAAAGCCAACGGTTAGCCTCCCTGGCCTGGGATATTGAGACATCATCTCTAAGCAGATGATACACAACAACATCAAGTGTCTCTTGCTACTCTCCCCCCACCCCCACCCCACTCCTCTTCTCCCTGGGGACTAAAACTAATGTGTTTTATCTGCTTCACCTGAGGAGGAGGAGGATTTATGGACTGAGAGAGAGAGGGGTTCCTCAGTAGGAGTCAAAATTCAGGGCTGGAACAACTGGTAACTTGTCAACAGCACACCATCAAATGGTCCGTCACAACCCCACATAAATGCAAACAAACCAGACTGGTACAGGGAGCTGCCATGCCCTCCTCCGTTTAGCGGTGGGTGTCAAAGACCACTTAATGCTGCAGTGGTTTTGAATGAAGCTATTTTACACAAGCAAAAAGTTGCTGCCTTCTAACAAACGGGCTCTCTGAAAAGACTGAAAAGGAGGAATCTTCTCTATTTAGCTAATGGGATGGGATGTGTTCAGAGCACCATTTGTCATTTCTTTTTCCCAAGCTGTTAATGACCCCAAACGTTCCACTAGGCCCTGAGCCAAGACCACCACACCACCCAGTGCAGAAGGGTATGGAAACCATGGACTCTTGTCCGCTCCAAGCCTGGAACTTAAAAAAAAAAAAAAGGAGCAACCAGTTCAGCAGTCCCCTTCCTAAGAGCCCCCATGGTGCGGGGACAGAGGCCCTGTCTCCTGACCCCAGTCCCGGTGCCCCCGACTCCCCAGAGCATCACTTTTCTAAGTAGAAATTTCCTTCGGCCAGGAACCTGTTGGCTGCACTGGCTCAAAGAGTTGAGAAGTGGAGGCCTCCTGGAGCTGGCCCCAGGCAGCGGCCACGCCTATCTCGGGGGCCTGAGCTTCAGTGTCCGGGCAGGAGACAATGTCCTGGGAGGACAGCCCTCCTCCAGCAGCCAGGTGGCCGCCCATCCCCTCTTACCCCCGGCTCCCGCGGCCTCAGAGCGGAGCGTGGGCCGCACACGCCCCAGCGGCCAGGGCTCGGTCCCCGCGGCTGGCGCGGGGCACCCCTCCCGTCCGGGCCCCGCACTCACCCACCGCCCGGATGCGGAAGCCGCGCGGGGGGCGCAGCGCCCGGCGGCACCAGGCGTCGCGCAGCACCTGCAGGCTGGCGGGAGGCGCGTGCACCAGCAGCACCCCGCGCCGCAGCCAGCCCTGGAAAGCCAGCCGCGAGGCGGCGCGCGCCAGCCGCGAGTTCCAGAAGCAGCGCGCGTTGGCGCGGCGGAAGGCGCGGAAGACCGCGCGCCCGCCAGGCTCCTCCGCGCCCGCCGCCGCCTCCTGCGCCTCCAGCCTGCACAGCACCAGCGCCAGCGAGCCCGGCGCCAGCTGCACCGGCCGGGCCATGCCGCCGCGGGAGGCCGGGGCCCCAGCCTAGCGCATGTTCGGGCGCGGCACTGCCGCAGCACTGGCGGCCGGGCGGCCGGCGGGAGGGATCGGCCGACTGCGCGCGGCGCCGGCTGCCGGGGGAACGGGCTCCGGGGGGCGGGGCCGGCGGCGCTCGGCGGCTCGGGGGTGGGGCGGGACGCGGGGCCTGAGGGTGGCCGCGGCCGTCGGCAGCCCGGCGCCCAATGGGGCTTTCCGAGGACTGAGTGGTTCTCCTCCCCAGCCCGGACTCCGCCGCCCCCCCCCCCGCCACCTCCCCGCGGCGTCCCCGGGACTCCCTTCACCTCCCGGCTCCGGGGCAGCCCTGAACTCCCCTACCCCGAAGGGGACGCTCTGGAGCCTTTCCAGGTCCTCGGGGAGCCCCGCAGCTCTCGGGAGCCTCTTTCAACCGCGGCGCGAACGGCACGGCCGGCAGTCCCCAGAACTGAGAGGACCAGGGTGGCCGCCATCGTCCTGGCTTCAGGGTCGCTCCTAAGTGAGAGAGGCCATGAGGGACAGCCTGCGGGTGTCAGGGACCTCTTTGGGGCCGGGAGTCAGTCCGTCGACCCAGGTTTGAGTCTCGGTCCGCTCCTAACTCGTTTTGCTTGTCACTTCCCCTCTCTTTGATCCTCAGTTTACTGTCCTGTAAAATGAGGAGTTGGAACTGCATTCTAAGCCCCTTTCCATCCGTGACTTTCTGAGGTTCTAGGCTCTGGGCCCGCCCCTGGGCTCTCCTACACCCTTCGGTGGGAAGGGAAGGGAAGTGTTCCAGAGGAGCGGCCGCGATTGGCGAGGCGCAGTGCTGAAGTCCGTGGGATTCAGCCTTGGGCTGGACCTGGACATCCCGCAAAGAAAGAGAAACCGTCTTGCCCGGGAGCTCCCCGGACTGAAGGGAGAGGGGCTTGTGATCTGTCGGGCCGACTGTAGCGAGGGCCTGGGAGCAACGAGGTACTGCTCATATGCGGAGGGACAGAGGCTGGAGCCCTGACCGGGGCAATGGAACAGGGCTCCTGGAGGAAAGAACAGGGGACATGAGAGGTAGGGCGTTCGTTATTACTACTAGAAACTGTCCCTAGAAGAAGGAGCAGAGGTGTTTGGCAAGACCTGGGTGTCATCCCAGACTTCCGCTCCCTCAGCTCATCAGTCAACAACCATGATGATTGGAGATAATTTATACCCTACCTCCTTGTAAATCATCCTCACAATAAATGATAGATGACTCTATTAAATAATGATAGCTAACATTTACTGAACACTGTATGCTGGGGGTGTTAATTTCACAACTAGGTGTTAACTCCTGTTAGCATTTCTATAGTTTTAGAGATGAGGAAACTGCAGGCTGTGTTAGATTAAGAAGTGCGTCCTGGGCGCCTCGGTGGCTCAGTCGGTTAAGCCTCTGCCTTCAGCTCAGGTCATGATCCCAGGGTCCTGGGATGGAGTGGGCATTGGGCTCCTTCCTGAGTGGGGAGCCTGCTTCTCTCTCTCCTCCCAGCTCGCTATCTCTGTCTCTCTCTCAAATAAATAAATAACATCCTTAAAAAAAAGTGCATACTGATCACACAGATAGTAAGAGATAGAGTTAGACAACTACCAATCAGGGTTCCCTATGACAAGTCTGACACAATTTTCAATTCAAATAAGCATACAAACCTGAGATAACCATCTCAGGTCTGAATTTTGACACTGATGGAGATGGATGGATGGATGGATAAATACAGCAGAGAGCCTAAATGAACTAAACTCCTATGTTTGTAGAAGCTCCACGAGGAAGGCAAAATTTCCTCCACTGAGTTGTCTCTATCGTATCCTTAACCTTATGGGATCAAGGATAACTTTGCTGTGTTTCCCACCCTAAAGAACTATGACTTGTCTCTGTAACTAGCATCTACAAGTGTCTTTTCCATTATAATAAGGATTATAATTCTCATTTACTCTCAGCCCACTCTATGCCTAGAACTGTACTAAGGGTTTTACATGTGTGATATAATTTTAGCCTCAAAATTAACCCTCTGAAAGGGGTAATATTAGTAAGCCCCATCTTCCACAAGAAAAACAAAAGCTTAAAAGGGGAGGGAGCGCCTGGGTGGCTCAGTCAGTTAAGCATCCAACTCTTGATCTCAGTTCAGATCTTGATCTCAGGATCGTAAATTCAAGATCCGTGTTGGGCTCCATGCTTGGTGTAGAGCCTACTTAAAACCAAAAGAAAAGAAAACGCTTAAAGAGCTTAGGCCACATGCCTATGAGGACAAAGCTAATGGACAGTCAAATAGAGATCCCAACACTGTCCACACACCTGGCTAGACGGGGAAGCCAGAAGACCCACACCCTGACTCACGGGACCTGTTGCCTGGTCTGAAAAATTGTCCTGAGCTTGATTCTCTCTCCCAAGTCTTTGAACTGGAAATACACAATAAGGCCCTTATTAGCAGAGCCTGTAGCTGCTGGGATGCTCTCAGGTAGACCATGCTATGAGATTTCATGGCCTGAACTGATAAGGTAGAACTGTCTTAAATTGTGGAAACTTTCATTCAGATGTGCAACATTTCCATTATCATTTTATTTCAGCTGTCCAATTAACAAAAGAAGAGGGAAGACTGTAAAGAGAAAAATTTTAAACCACAGCCAAATATGTATCTACTTGTTTTCCCAAAGGATCAGCTACCTCACAAATATCCCTAAACTACCAAATGGAATATGCCTTAAAAGTTAATGGAGGGGCACCTGGGTGGCTCAGTTGGCTAAGCATCTGCCTTGGACTTGAGTCAGGATCTCAGGATCCTGGGAGCAAGCCCAGCGTCAGGCTCCCAGCTCAGTGGTGAGTCTGCTTCACCTTCTCCCTTTGCCCCTCTCCCTGCTTGTGTGCACGCAAAGTGTTAATGGAAAACTGAAGACCTCCAGCCTGAATGGCCAGTATTACGTGTCAAAACTAGAGAAACAGAAACAGAAACTTCTCAAGGGCCTTCCATCTTTGTGATCTCTGGAGACCAGACACAGAAACATAAGATAAACTTGATCATCTGATGCTCACATCTGTCTGGGGTCTATCCGAAGTAGAACATTCAGTGCTCTTCACACTCTGACCCCAGCCCAGTCTTTCTAATATCATTGCCATTTCTATCCTTGCCCTCCTCCAGCAATCCACAGATCTTGTGCTCCAACTACACAAAATTACACACCTTCCCCCGTCTTTGCTCACATTATTTCATCTGCCTAGAAGGCCTTCCCCCTTGACCAGCTGTTATCTTACAAAGTTCAGCCCATAAAACCTGTGACACATCCAGGGAGATATCATCTGTTCTTGGAGCACATTGTTAACCCTTTTATAACACTTGTGTGGCAAGGGCTGTAATACTTAATTATCTGTCTCATCAGGCAACCTGGGATTCCTTGAGGACCAGGCTCCTGACTGACTCGTCTCTGTGGCCCAGTACCTGGGCCATAGATTCATTCCACTTGAATCAAGTCCAATTTAACTAGTACTTAATCCAGGATAACTCCACTTTTGCTGCTTCTCGTGAGTCTGGGGTCACCACACACATAAGCATTTCTGGTCTGTGGGTGAATCACAGGAAGACCTAGTTATCCAGTAGTCAAAGCCAGGGCAAAGCCTCAAGCAACAGGCACAGCCAGGCCTCACCCACCCAGGCATTTGGAGTTCAGTGATTTCTCTGGAGTCTGTTTACAGCACACATGTTACACTGAGGATGATGTTTGTCTTAACTGCCTCAAATTCTTTTCCACACCAGAATTCATCAGGCTGAAATTCCTCCCCCTTAACTAAGAAAATCAAGCCTTGACATTTAAGGCTGAGTTAGAAATCGTTTTCTATCTGGCTTCTCTTTATTATGACCATTTCCACTTCTACAACATCTTTTTTCCCTGTACCAGAAAAAAAAAAAAGTCCTGGAGACTTTTGTTTGTATTTCTCATAGAAAAATGTGAGGCTTTGCTAAACAACTGTATTGAGGCAAAGGCTAGAGAAAAGAAGGCGGGGGCAGGAGAAAAGCATCTAATGCCATTTCTTTATTTTATTTTTTTTAAGATTTTATTTATTTTTGACAGAGAGAGAGAGTGTACAAGCAGGGGAAGAAGGAGGCAGAGGGAGAGGGAGAAGCAGGTTCCCATCGAGCAGGGAGCCCGATGTGGGGCTCCATCCCAGGACCCTGGGATCATGACCTGAGCCAAAGGCAGATGCTTAACCAACTGAGCCACCCCGGTGACCCAAGCATCTGACTCTTGATCTCAGCTCAGGTCTTCATCTCAGGGTTGTGAGTTTGAGCCCCACACTGGGCTCCACGCTGGACATGGAGCCTACTAAAAAGAAAAGAAAAGAAAAAGAGAGAGGGAGGGAGAGAGGGAGGAAGGAAGGAAGGAATGAAGGAAGAAGGAAGGAAGGAAGGAAGGGAGAGAGAGAGAAAGAAAAGAAAGAAAAAGAAAAGAAAGAAGGAAGGAAGGAAGGAAGGAAGGAAGGAAGGAAGGAAGGAAGGAAGAAGAAAGAAAAAGAAAGGAAAGAAAGAGGGCTTAGAGGAGCCTGACCAAAGTTTGGTCAAGAAGAGTCTCTGTCAGAAACCAATACAAGGGCGCCTGGGTGGCTCAGTTGGTTAAGCGACTGCCTTCGGCTCAGGTCATGATTCTGGAGTCCCGGGATCGAGTCCCGCATTGAGTCCCGCATCGGGCTCCCTGCGCAGCGGGGAGTCTGCTTCTCCCTCTGACCCTCTCCCCTCTCATGCTCTCTCTCTATCTCATTCTCTCTCTCAAATAAATAAATAAATAAAATCTTTAAAAAATAAAAAAAAAGAAACCAATACAAACTTCCTGCACTCTGCCCCTCCCCACTGATTAAAGGTACTAACACCCGTAAAGCATTTAAAACACCCCCATAATCCTATTTTTGTTTGGTGAGGGGGGGAATTGGAATATTATCATTATAAGAAATTATTTCTAGGGGCACCTGGGTGGCTCGGTAGTTAAGCATCTGCCTT